TTAAATGAATAGCTTCTTATTTTTTATTTATTTATTTTTTATTCTGGCAATGCATCATGGGATTGTAGTTCCCTCTTTAAAGCCAGTATGTTTGTTGTATTTCTGTATTTCTATGTGCATCAAAGTTGATTCTCCTAATTTTATTTCCAGTCCTTGTGAAAGTAACAGAAAATATATGCTGAATCTGACTTCATGAAATGTTCATATTTTTGTGCTAGATACATATGCAAATTAGCGCATTTGCATATTTAAATATATCATCTTTAAAACCCTGTAATACATCAAATATCGTATGCAAATATCAGTGGGGAAAATAACGAGGAAGTGGGCGGGGCATTCTGGCATTCTAAAGTGTGGTGTTTCATAAATATTCAAATGAGGCACCATCTAATTAAATTTGAACGAATTTGCACAAATCTGTGCAATGTGTGAAATGCACAATAATGAACAGAGTTATAAACAGAACTTCATTTTGTTGTTGTTGACTTGCATTTAATATGAAAAATATGCAATTCTGTCATCATTATGTTCTGAATGTTGGAAACCGTTGACTTCCATAGTATTTAATTTTCTACTATGGATGTCATTGGCTTAAAGTTTACAACATTCTTCAAAATATCTTCTTTGGGGATGTTTAAGTAAACCTTCATTTCCTTTAAATAATGTGTGTAAAAGTTGAACTTCAGTAACACACTCTGTGACGTGCGTGTGTGTGTGCAGTTTCTCTGTAACTTCCCCTGTGTCTGCCATCTGGTTTTCTGACGTTTGCATCACACACACACCTTAGTTTTTGCTGTGGTTTCGACCTCAGACACACACACACACACACACACACACACACACACACACACACACACAGACTGTCTGATTACATGCAAGTGTTTCTGCAAATTGTAATGACTAATCCTCATATTCTGTGCATTTGTCTGAGCAAGTTCATCCAAACACTGTTATTAAAAAGTGCTTTTGATGAGAAATTAATCATTGAATTTTGCAGGTTCATGCCTTCAGATCTGCAAAACATACCCAGAATGCTTTTAAAGATGATTAAAGGTGAGTAAACTACACTTACATACTAAGAAATGTATATTTTGTAACAAGTTATGTCAACCAGCCACTTTATTAGGTACACCTGTCCAACTGCTCGTTAACACACATTTAATCAGCCAATCACATGGCAGCAACTCAATGCATTTATGCATGTAGACATGGTCAAGACGATCTGCTGCAGTTCACACTGAGCATCAGAATGGGATTTAAACGTGGCATGGATGTTGGTGTCAGACATGCTGCTCTGAGTGTTTCAGAAACTGCTGAACTGCTGGGATTTTCACGCACAACCATCTCTAGGGTTTACAGAGAATGGTCTGACAAAGAGGAGACCCAGTGAGCGGCAGTTCTGTGGGCGCAAATGCCTTGTTGATGCCAGAGGTCAGAGGAGAATGGCCAGACTGGTTCCAGCTGATAGAAAGGCAACAGTGACTCAAATAAGCACTCGTTACAACCGAGCTCTGCAGAAGAGCATCTCTGAACACACAACACGGCCAACCTTGAGGCGGATGGGCTACAGCAGCAGAAGAGCACACCGGGTGCCGCTCCTGTCAGCTCAGAACAGGAAACTGAGGCTACAATTCACACAGACTCACCAAAACTGGACAATAGAAGATTGGAGAAACGTTGCCTGCTCTGATGAGTCTCCATTTCTGCTGACACATTCGGATGGTCGGCTCATGGAAAGCATGGATCATCCTGCCTTGTATCAGCGGTTCAGGCTGGTGGTGGTGGTGTAATGGTGTGGGGGAGATTTTCTTTGCACACTTTGGGTCCATTAGTACCAATTGAGCATCAACGCCACAGCCTACCTGAGTATTGCTGCTGACCATGTCCATCCCTTTATGAGCACAGTGTCTCCATCTTCTGATGGCTACTTCCAGCAGGATAACACACCATGTCATAAAGCTCAATCATCTCAGACTGGTTTCTTGAACATGACGATGAGTTCACTGTACTCAAATGACCTCCACAGTCACCAGATCTCAATCCAATAGAGCAGCTTTGGGATGTGGTGGAACGGGAGATTGGCATCATGGATGAGCAGCCGACAAATCTGCAGCAACTGTGTGATGCTATCATGTTAATATGGAGCAAAATCTCTGAGGAATATTTCCAGTAGCTTGTTGAATCTCTGCCATGAAGGATCAGGGCAGTTCTGAA